CCTAGCAGTTCGAAAGCAAGAAATTGCAAGTAGATAAATAGGTACCACTTTGGTGGGAAGGGAACAGCGTTCCGTGCGCCTTGCTGTTTAGTCATGCCGGCCCCATGACCACGGAAACGTCTTCAGACAGCGCTGGCTCTTCGGCTTTGAAACGGAGATGAGCACCGCAACCCTAGAGTCGGATTCGACTGGCTTTCGAGCAAGGGAACCTTTACCTTTACCTTTTATGCAACCTACATTTAAAACAAATAGGGGTTTGCACAGAAGTAGGTGAGCTAAGGTAATAATGCAGGGCACTCTCCAAAACTGCTTTTTGAACACTTACAGAAAAATTTGTATACATATGTATGCTATATAAATTGTTTTCCTGAATTGTGGCCCAGGTTTCACTAGGCACCATTTAAAATAGCTGATGTGGGAAAACACATTATTCTGCGTACTGGAAATACATGAATGATAGATTTTACATCTCCATGACCACAGTAGATTTTGGGGCATAGGATTAATTAATAAATAATACAAGCACATGCAATAATTTTAAAGTAGTTTAGAACAGGACTCCTGGTGAAAAGTGGCATTTCCCAGCTCATTTCACAAGCCTGAACTTTCTTTGTGTCTTAAAGTATAAAATTGCTCTTCTTTTTCATTTCTTCAAGTTCACACACCCTGTGAAGATAACAATGGTGGCTGTTCCCATTTGTGCCTCTTGTCTCCACAAGACCCTTTTTACAGCTGCAACTGTCCCACCGGAGTCCAGCTGGAAGAAGACGGCAGGACCTGCAAAGCAGGTAAAAGTCAAATGGAGTGTTGCTTGGACAGTGTACAATGTTGCTTGAACGAATATGTGCAAAAAAGAGAGAGAGTTTTGGACTCCTCAGTTTTTGTCTGTATAAAAGATTCAGCAGTAGCATCTGTGTACGCTTTTCTTGCCAGTCTGGTCCCTCTCGCCACAGGCAAATCACTCTCCAAATTGGGAATGGGGAGCAGAGGGCTTTTTGTGTGAATTAAATTGTTGTATTTATTTATTTATTTATTTATTTATTTATTTATTTATTTATTATTCACATTTCTATCCCGCCCTCCCCGGAGGCTCAGGGCGGCTTACAGGGCGTATCGCCAGATAAAACAGTAAAACAATACCAAATAGTAAAATACATCACCATTAAACCAATTTTGGTGCTCCTCTCAGTCAATTTCCAAATTCCAAATTACACTTTCTAAAAGCAAGATGGCCACCCC